AAACGATCTGTTACAGCAAGCTTTAGGCGTGTTTTGCACGGAATTGTGGGAAATCCACTAGAAACATCAATAATGATAGGGTAATTAAATGTCTGACGTCATAGGTTCAAATGCCGCTTGTACGAACTCTGACGTGACCTGTCGCTAAAACTTGCCAGATCCTCAGTAGTGTAGGCCATTAATAGTATAAAAAAACGAAACGAAATATAGATGTGTATTTTAATCAGATTGAATAATTAAATAGAAATGGTAGTACCAGCCAGCCTTTATAAAATTATAAATATAATATCTATTACATGGTGTCCTATCTAATAAAATGTTTAAACAATTTAAAACCAATATAATGCAGGTGCCATAATATTGCACACGGTGTCAACAATGGGGGGGGGGTATAATATAGGTCGTGATGTTGCCAAAAGATCATAATGTAATGCTATGTATATATTATATATATTTCAGGTCATGATGTAGCCAATAAAACGTATGTAACAGGTTACGAAGCAGCCAGAAGTTATGTGGGAACAATAAACTACAATGTTGATCTGCAACAAGTTATAAACATAGTTGATGTCTCAGCCGAATGTGAACAATATATTAAATTTGAATGTCATGGTGTTGAAATAACTGTAGATGTTGGATTAAATACACGTACTGGTACATTAGCAAGTTATTTAATAGGGGGAGTCAAGGGTCAGAATGATTGCGCCTGTCATCTTAATAATGCCTGTGTTGATGATTTGCCTTGTAATTGTCAAAAGAATGATGGTGTATTAAGAGTTGATGAGGGGTATATTCGATATAAAGAAGACCTTCCAATTACTGCTATCTTGATCGGTGATACGGGTATGTATACTGTTTTAGACATTCTGTACACGCCACCCACCCTCCAATGGAAAATTGGAATTCGATCACGTGGTAATCTAATGAGCACTTTGCCCTATTATGTTTTAGACGAACTCGGCGTTATTTCTCATTATGTTCACCTGGGCTTATTAGGCATGAGTAATATAATGACAAGGCATTTCACTTTCTTGAGGTGACTAAGTAATGGATTTCTGATATTGCCTGTGCTTGTTCATCACCCATGTCACTCTCTACATACCAACTACTCTCTGTGTTATACATGTACTGCTTGTTAAGAGAAATATATTAAAGGCGTTCGCTTTCCTTAGTGCGCTTGAGTTCCCCAGCCTTTTGTACCTGCTATATTATGCATGCCACGCGTCATCAGTATCTGGAAAAAATATATTACTATTCATTTGTTGTTCTGTCAAGGGTTTATTCAATGACTATTTACATTTAAATAATTGTTTGTTTGTTTTAATATTATCTACGTTAGATTCGTGGCGTTTCAGATTGTAACAGTATTGGCTCTTCAATACGCAACTCAATAATGCTTTTACAAGTCTCCTTAGTGACATTCTGGTGCGGGAGGCCTGGTCCTCTGTTGTGTTGTGGGAGCCACGATGGCAGGAGTAGTCAAGACGCTGGCTCGCTAGACTGGAGATCGCGTGTTGGAGCAGCTGTCTAGTCGTTCAGATGGGACGAAAACCCTTAAATCCGTGTATGCATTGGCGTGCACATAAAAGATCCCTCCGCAGTTGGAATTCGATATGAGATAAGGCCATAGTGCCACTGCCTGCGCAAAATTTCCCTCATAGTACACTAAATGGCGTGTGCCCGTCTCCATTACCGCAGTCGGAGGAGAACAGTAGGATGTTAAATCCCATTTCATTATTTTTCCGTTGTTTTGTCCGCGCTCTGGTGTTAACCGACGACTATCGTTGTTGTTGTTCTTAGTGTTTAACGTCCGCTTCCATCAAAGGTGATATCGCAGACAAGTTGTTGTTGTTGTTGTTCTTAGTGTTTAACGTCCGCTTCCATCATTTTCATTATCTTAGCGCACGCGCAGGGGTCTTTCCTGGGGGAGGAAACCGGAGTACCCGGAGTAAACCCACGAGGTTGAGAAGGCGCCTCTATTTCCAAGTCACATACGCTCACACCAGGGATCGAAACCACAACCGCAGTCCAGAGGTGATCGACCAGCGTAACACTCTAGATCACTAGGCCATCCCAACTCCCCGACGACTATCGTTCAGCACCCCGCTTTTAATCATTTGAACATTAGTCAGATGTCCAACCCCACACTGTGGCCTGATTGGATAGTCTTCAGATGGACTATGCTCCGATTGAGCAGAAAACATTAGCTACCGACAGATATCGGCTGTGTAACCAACCCTAACAAAGGATGTCAAAGCGATTACATAGCTGGGCTATTGCATAATGCCAGATAAGCTTTCTGCACAAATTACTTCACAGGTCAAAGGACATTAAATAACTCAGGCCAACCATCTGTTAATGAGTTAAACATCTGGTCGTGAGTGATATTAAATTATATCTTTAATGTTTTGACAGGAAGCAGTGATGAGTTCGCATATTATACAATCGGTAATCTCAAGTGTAAAGGGTGAGTAGCCCTGAATATATCTATATTGTTACAAACTTAAGGTTTTGGATAAATAAAGAATCTCCTACGAGTTATTTTTTTATATCAAAAATATCAACATAATTCAATAATGTAAAAAAGAACGAGGCCATGTCGAGTATTTTAAACTTTTTTGGCGAATTTTACTATTTTTAATATAAAAAATTACGAGTAGAAGATTTTATTTACCGCGAAACCCTTTCTTACACCACAAAAAATATATATAATTATTTAGTATAGATTTTATTTTATGTAAAGCGATGTTCAGTAGATTATGAATGTTATCATACAAGCGATGCTCAGTATATTATGAATGTTATCATACAAGCGATGATCAGTATATTATGAATGTTATCATACAAGCGAGAAAGTTAATCGGGATTTTTCGGCCTGGTTCCTTCTTGTCAGTTAGTGGTGGATGACTATAAACATTTCATGGGTAGTTATTTTCCCAACAAAACCACTGACATTCTTTTAATTAATTTCATTTTGAAGTGTGTTAATGAGTTTGATTTGAAAATGTACAATAATTTTATCCCTGCTTTGACACCCCCCCCCCAGCGCCCACGCACCTTAGACTTCCTGTATTTATACTCTGAGAGTCGACAATTCTAGTTTTTGATCTGCAACTGTGCCGTGTTAAGCTAGAGGCAAATGTACCATATGATATGCGGCCCACATTTTCAAGCCCTCCACTCTAAGTGTTTCAACTTATCAATAACAATGTAGAAATTTAATTACTTAACTATGAAAGTAAAATATTTGTTTGTTGTAATATTTATGTGTAGTTATTAAATTAGACCACAGTAATAACACATGTTACATTCACTTTAGGACTAACATATGTTACAATTTATTTAAATAATTGGCTTACCCACAGTAGTCTTTAGCAGTGATAGAGCAAGGAGAAAACCCACGAGGTTCGGCAGGCGAGCCTACTTCTTGTCACAAACAAGCGTTGGGATCTAAACCATGCCACTTGTCGGTCCTAAATACAGATTGGTAGTACACGTGAAAGGTAGCTTGGCGATTCGAAGACTAGGTAGAAGATCACTGACAAGGCTAGAGCTGCCCCCCCCCCCTCTTTGGACGCAATACGATACGAAACCAACGACCGGCTTGCCCATGTCAGTATGAACGCGCCATAAAGCCGAGACACATTGGTTGGGCGCACCCGCGACGAGATAGACGGGTGCCCAACCAATGTTACTCGATGCCGAACATGTTATATATGAGGCGCCCCCCCGCCCCACACCAAATGGTGAGGCGCCTCATAATGAATCACACGATCAAAATTGTGGCATCTAGAGGTCCACAAGTTAAAAATGCGATTTTTCGTACAATCAAGTACCATAATTCAGGAAGTTACGATCCGGTATGCGCGAATATCGAAAGGAACCAATTTCACGAAATTCTAACTCAACCGACATTACGGCGTAACGTATTCGAACGGAACGGGGTTTTTTTAAAATCAGATACTAATAGTGACCTCTAGAGAATTCCGTAAGTTACGATCCGATATGAGTAAATATCAAAAGGGGCCTGTAGAGTGTCCACAAAAAAATTGTGGATGGACGCTCGGACGTCGAGACGGACAGGGGCGACGACAATACACGTTCACATGGAAATGGGCGAAGTATTGTGTTGACGAGACGTTAAACCCCACTCTATTCAAGAAGTTTCGGTCTAGTCATGGCACAATTATCATTTCATATGTATATATTATCACATAAATATAATTTGAAAATCAAATCCAATTATCCCCGATTGATATATATTATTGCACCATGATTATTTACTGCTGAAAATAAAATATATTTTAAATTAATAGTTTGTGAATTATTGTATTTTGTACATAGCCACGAAGACGCCGTATGGCTGTAAGACATTGTCAAATATGTAAATGTAATTACAATAAAGATTGTCTACCCAAATCTTAGTACCGGTATTTTTGGTATATAAACCTGAGGGTTTATTTCAACGATTGAATTTTGGGCCTAGCCTCGACCATCATTACTAAAGTCGGTATGATAAAAAAAAAACATAGTCTCAATTATCCACTTCATAATTATCTCATGAATGAAAGTTAAGCAGCAAATGGGATCCTAATCCAGTAAATATTGCAGGCTAGCGTTGACATCGAGAGTTGGTTATGGTCTGGATAAGTTAATTAATGTCTAATTAATAATTTAGTTCTTGGATAATGTATGTTTAATATATCAGTGATAATAATGTATGTTTAATACATCACTGATTGTACGCCAATCATTATTTTGCCATCGCTCGACTATGGTCACGGCTACACCAGACGTATACAAGTCATTATTACAAAACTAGTTCACTGGCTCTTTAGTTGTCTTAAATAATTCAAGGAATGTATTTTCCTGAAAACATATCAATATTTTATTTTCCAATTAAGACATACTTATCAACCGTGACATTTACGAGAGTAAAATATCAAAACTTGAATATTCTTTGTATTTATTGATTATTTTCATTCATTTACAAAACAAAGAAGAACATAAGGTTGGGGACCAGTGAATAATTTCATTTAGCAAATTAAACTTTGGTAAAGCAACAACATGCCGGAATATGACAAGCTAGTTTTACTGTGTTTATTTCTTAAAACTGTAATGACTGCTAATGGTTGTGAACCCGCGGAAAAAAAATATGTTTTAGAAAACAAAAATGTTTTGGCGAGCCCTTGGACAAGAATGACATCCGTAGAGAGTCGAAGTTTATGTGCTTTTGAATGTCAAATCGAACTGTACTGTGTGGCCTTTGCGTTTAATGAACATGACAGGGAATGTTATCTGTATGATAGAGATATTACCGGTGAAGTTTATGATCAACATTTGAACACAAATATTTACATAAGTAACACAAGTAAGTATTAATTGATTCTTTTTACATGTACTCCTGTCGTAATCAGGGGACGAAATCGTCGGACCGAAGTCCTGACCTACGTGACTGAAGAAAATATGAAGTAAAATGTACAAATGGGATAAAAATAACCATCCAGTTATCTGTGAACAATGATTAACAATATATTTTTATTACATCAATAACTGAAGCGATATTTAAACAACAATGAATTTAACCTTTGGTTTTGCAAAAACAGCAAATACTTTATTAGGAATAACAAATACTTTTATTAGGAATAACAAATACTTTATTAGAAATAAATAAATATTATCCTTTACAGGATGTGGGTTATTACCTACCAAAGAAAACGCATCACCAGAATCAATGCAAGCTACATATGCTGCTGGTGCTAGAGTTAACTACATATGTAGTTCTGGTTGTAATTTAGACGGGTCGCCTCAGGCGCATTGCCTTCCATCTGGTGATTGGCACATTCCAACATTTACATGTAAAGCAAGTAAGTTTCAAATATAAAAAAAAGAAGAAAAACCCGAGTATGTAGAAATAAAACGAGTGAAACGAGGGAGGTGTATTAGAAGGCGACAAGTGGGATTTACTTTTGTTCAAAACCAATTACAACCTGTCATGGGATCTCTAACGTCCTGCCAACGGTTTCATTACACCGAAACCTTGAATAAGTCTGATAATGAGCAATTTGATTGCTAGATGCTTTATGAAAATAGAAATATATAATAGTTAATGGATGTTATTTATTTTATTTTTATTGGGGGGGAGGGGCTGAAGATGGGGGTCAGCTGTACTGCTGGATTATTAATATAATTAACCAAACGCCATTTTATGTATATTATTATTGTTATAGTGAAATCATGCCAGGAAGCTTACAATCTGGGGGTAACTGTTACACCAACCGTAATCATCAGACCAGATCCAAATGAAGAAGCTGTGACGGTATCTTGTGAGATTACAAACAATGTTGTTTATACTGTTATAGGTAAATAGTATTGCCAGTTATAACCCATTAATAGTAAATGTAGGGGGGAGGGGCTGGATCGGGGCGGGGCGGGGGTGAAAAACAATCCTGTGGACAAGACACAAACTACACCAATATGAAACCAAGTGAATGGATCCAAGGGCCCAATGTACAGTCCTGGGCCTGTAATGATACAGTCCTGGGCCTGTAATGATACAGTCCTGGGCCTGTAATGATACAGTCCTGGGCCTGTAATGATACAGTCCTGGGCCTGTAATGATACAGGCCTTGCCCAAAATGAAAAACAAAACAAACAATGATTTACAAGAAAGGCGCAATAATGCGACCGATCTTGAGGGTGGCTGTCCCCTGTATGGCGTTTCTAGTTGGCCTTAGTCTGCCACTTGACCTGTTGAGTGACCTAAATGGAATAAAGCCTGGTTATTTAGTCATACATATTTGGTCACCTAAGGATTTGCATTAAGGATGCATTAAAAACGTTGTCCATAAATATTGGGCGACAGTTTGATACAGCCACAACGTACATATGAAATGGCGAAACGGCATAAGCCAACTATAAAAATGACAGCATAGACAACTATACGTGACTGAATGTCCATCTGAGGTGTGTACGGTGTGTGTGTGTGTGGGGGGGGGGGGGGCTGTGTATGGTACACCTTAAAAGCTATAACACAAATATAATGAGCCTATCTAAAAAAACAAGTGGACACTAACTCGAAACTGTAAGCAACTAATAAAGACCAGTATAACATAAAACAAACAATCTTTATAAAATATAGGTACAACTAATGAAGCATTACTCCCTAAATCGTAATCCGTAAACGAAGCCTAGTCGCTACCAACTGCTAACCGTAACCAACCAATAAAAATTATTATCACCTAGAACAAACTCATGCATTAAAACTGGTGTCATGCATTAAAACTGCTAAAACAACCACCAATGTACGATGTGGTGTCGTGCATTAAAACTGATAGAGAGATCATCAAGATAGTTAAAGAGACCATCCGGGTACGATGTGGTCTCACGTATTAAAACTATTATAGAGACCACCAAGATACGATATGGTCTCGCGCGTTAAGTATAATATATGGTCCCATGCAATTAAACCTATTAAGGAGATCATCAAGATGTTATATTATGGTCTCATGCAATAAAACTGCTAAAAAGACCATCAAGGTACGACATGGTCTCATGCATTAAAATGAAACCATTGATCGTATTATATCGTTGAACCTTTTCAGCAAAAATCGGGATCCAACCGTCTGATTATCAAGCCAGGACTTTGTCGTTGAGCTACCGCGACTCGTTAGTCTTACTAAAATGACGAAAATTATTATTATTATTTTTAGTCTAAATAGCCAACAAGGAAAATGGCAATCTGTTTCACAGAGTATTACGAATGTCTTCTAATATCTCTGTATTTTAGTATTTTAGAATTTAATTTGTCAGAGGAAAAGAATTAATAATTGTGGCTCATTAAGTTGCATCGATGTCATCCTTATCCGTGATTGTCGCAGACTAGCGAATATTCACTGCTAATCAGTGTGGGAAAATGGCAGCTGTTATGAAAAAGTCTTTCTGGGTGGTGTGTAGATTAGCCAATGAAACGATCTGTTACGGCAAGCTTTAGGCGTGTTTTGAACGGAACTGTGGGTAATCCACTAGAAACATCAATGATGATTGGGTAATCAAATGTCTTGTCAGATCCTCATGTAGTGCAAGCCACCAAAAGTATAAAAAAACGAAACGAAATATAGATGTGTATTTTAATCAGATTGAATAATTAAATAGAAATGGTAGTACTAGCCAGCCTTTATAATATTATAAATATACTATCTATTACATGGTGTCCTATCTAATAAAATGTTTTAACAATTTAAAACCAATATAATGCAGGTACCATAATATTGCACACGGTGTCAACAATGGGTGGGGGGTGATAATATAGGTCGTGATGTTGCCAAAAGATCATAATGTAATGCTATATATATATTATATATATTTCAGGTCATGATGTAGCCAATAAAACGTATGTAACAGGTTACGAAGCAGCCAGAAGTTATGTGGGAACAATAAACTACAATGTTGATCTGCAACAAGTTATAAACATAGTTGATGTCTCAGCCGAATGTGAACAATATATTAAATTTGAATGTCATGGTGTTGAAATAACTGTAGATGTTGGATTAAATACACGTACTGGTACATTAGCAACTTATTTAATAGGGGGAGTCAAGGGTCAGAATGATTGCGCCTGTCATCGTAATAATGCCTGTGTTGATGATTTGCCTTGTAATTGTCAAAAGAATGATGGTGTATTAAGAGTTGATGAGGGGTATATTCGATATAAAGAAGACCTTCCAATTACTGCTATCTTGATCGGTGATACGGGTATGTATACTGTTTTAGACATTCTGTACACGCCACCCACCCTCCAATCAGTAGCGGATTATCAGTGAGGCTGGTGAGCCTGCAGCCTCAGGCCCAAAGATTTTGTAAAAAAAAAATTTTTTTTTAGACTTGTCTGATACGATTAAAAACGCATAGACAATGAATTTTAGGTTGGGTGGGGTTTAGGCCCAACGGGAATCAACATAGGCCCTCACCCGAAATTAATTAGGCCCACGCCATTTTAAATCTGCCCTATTGTTTGGAGATCTTATTTTTTAAACGTAGGCCTACAATGTACGTTAAATCCTTGTAAGTTTTCGGTTATGTCTTGCTTAATATATTGTATCCACGTGACGTCATTTATGGGCATATAAACCAATATCAAACGACTTTGGCTTAAGAAAAAATATCTAGCAAATATTATCCTTGAAAATAGGTGTATATACAGTTGGTTTCCGGTGACGTTTCTGCTGTCAAAGCATTTTGTACGACAAATTTCAATAGTTATAACTAATATTTTAATAATATTATAACCTCAGTAACGAATCCCGTTTTTAATGTTAGCAACTACCTTGGCTCTAACTTTAAAAACTAAATAGGCCCTCCAGCAACTGCCGCCTCAGTGTATGCATTGGCGTGCACATAAAAGATCCCTCCGCAGTTGGAATTCGATATGAGATTAGGCCATAGTGCCACTGCCTGCGCAAAATTTCCCTTATAGTACACTAAATGGCGTGTGCCCGTCTCCATTAGCGCAGTCGGGGGAGAACAGTAGGATGTTAAATCCCATTTCATTATTTTTCCGTTGTTTTGTCCGCGCTCTGGTGTTAACCGACGACTATCGTTGTTGTTGTTCTTAGTGTTTAACGTCCGCTTCCATCAAAGGTGATATCGCAGACAAGTTGTCTTTTTTCATTTTCATTATCTTAGCGCACGCGCAGGGGTCTTTCCTGGGGGAGGAAACCGGAGTACCCGGAGTAAACCCACGAGGTTGAGAAGGCGCCTCTATTTCCAAGTCACATACGCTCACACCAGGGATCGAAACCACAACCGCAGTCCAGAGGTGATCGACCAGCGTAACACTCTAGACCACTAGGCCATCCCAACTCCCCGACGACTATCGTTCAGCACCCCGCTTTTAACCCTTTGAACATTGGTCAGATGTACAACCCCAAAAGTCAGCCCCCACACCCACACACTGTGGCCTGATTGGATAGTCTTCAGATGGACTATGCTCCGATTGAGCAGAAAACATTAGCTACCGACAGATATCGGCTGTGTAACCAACCCTAACAAAGGATGTCAAAGCGATTACATAGCTGGGCTATTGCATAATGCCAGATAAGCTTTCTGCACAAATTACTTCACAGGTCAAAGGACATTAAATAATCAGGCCAACCATCTGTTAATGAGTTAAACATCTGGTCGTGAGTGATATTAAATTATATCTTTAATGTTTTAACAGGAGGCAGTGATGAGTTCGCATATTATACAATCGGTAATCTCGTGTGTAAAGGGTGAGTAGCCATGAATATATCTATACTGTTACAAACTTAAGGTTTTGGATAAATAAAGAATCGCCTACGAGTCCTTTTTGATATAAAAAATATCAACATAATTCAATAATGTAAAAGCGAGTATTTTTTGCATATTGGCGAATTTTACTATTTTTAATATAAAAAATACAAGTAGAAGATACTATTTTACCGTGCAATCCTTTCTTACACCACAAAAAATATATATAATTCTTTAGTATTGATTTTATTTTATGTAAAGCGATGCTCAGTATATTATGAATGTTATCATACAAGCGATGCTCAGTATATTATGAATGTTATCATACAAGCGATGCTCAGTATATTATGAATGTTATCATACAAGCGATGCTCAGTATATTATGAATGTTATCATACAAGCGATGCTCAGTTTATTATGAATGTTATCATACAAGCGATGCTCAGTATATTATGAATGTTATCATACAAGCGATGGTCAGTATATTATGAATGTTATCATACAAGCGATGCTCAGTAGATTATGAATGTTATCATACAAGCGATGCTCAGTATATTATGAATGTTATCATACAAGCGATGCTCAGTTTATTATGAATGTTATCATACAAGCGATGCTCAGTATATTATGAATGTTATCATACAAGCGATGCTCAGTATATTATGAATGTTATCATACAAGCGATGCTCAGTTTATTATGAATGTTATCATACAAGCGATGCTCAGTATATTATGAATGTTATCATACAAGCGATGCTCAGTATATTATGAATGTTATCATACAAGCGATGCTCAGTTTATTATGAATGTTATCATACAAGCGAGAAAGTTAATCGGGATTTTTCGGCCTGGTTCATCTTTGTCAGTTAGTAGTGGACGACAGAGGGATAGGCAAGGCACAGTCTATAGTCGTTCGGATGAGGTGTCGGCACAAAATTTCCCTCGTAGCACACTGTATGGCGTATGCCTGTCTTCATTAGCCCAGTATAGGAGCAGAACAGTAGGACGTTAAACCCCATTCCATTTCACTCATGATCCCGGTGTTGGCCGATAAAGTTCATCAGTGGTGCAGGACAGAGGGCCTGGCAATGTACAACATATAGTCCTTCGGATGGGTCGAAAAAACAATTTCTTGTGTGAACATAGGTGTACACATAAAAGTACCTTTGAAAGTTGGAATTCGATATTACAGTAGAAAGTAGTGCCGCTGTCCGGCACTGTATGGTGTATACCCTTCTTCATTAGCCCAGTCGCGGCAGAACAATAGGACGTTAAACCCCATTTGATTTGTATGAATATATTTGATATAACAGGTACCTTTACTTGAGCAGTATAAAACCTCCACAAGTAACAAAAAACGTAGTTTTCTAGTTTTTTATCCCTGTAATATAGCTGTCTACCCTTGGTCGTTATTAATCCAGTTTAATGAAATCATTCCATTGCAGATAATTAAAAGATAAAGTTGGATTAAAGGAGTCACGGTGCCTAAGTGGGTAAGACGCTGGCTCGCTAGCCTGGAGATACATCTAGTTGGATACCTACTGTAAACAGATACATTCATATAAATTATATGGGTTTTATTTTACATAGTTATTGTCAAATTTCTAACCCAGTTTATTTTATAATCATCTAATTAAATTTTCGATGACTATAAACATTTCATGGGTAGTTATTTTCCCAACAAAACCACTGACATTGTTTTAATTAATTTCATTTTGAAGTGTGTTAATGAATTTGATTTGAAAATTTACAATAATTTTATCCCTGCTTTGACCCCCCCCCCCCCCGACCGCGCCCACGCACCTTAGACTTTCTGTATTTATACTCTGAGAGTCGACAATTCTAGTTTTTGATCTGCAACTGTGCCGTGTTAAGCTAGAGGCAAATGTACCATATGATATGCGGCCCACATTTTCAAGCCCTCCACTCTAAGTGTTTCAACTTATCAATAACAATGTAGAAATTTAATTACTTTACTATGAAAGTAAAATATTTGTTTGTTGTAATATTGATGTTTATTTATTAAATTAGACCACAGTAATAACACATGTTACATTCACTGCACTTGCTTAATGGTTTTTACATATAACTGAACATTGATGTTTTTATATTTTATTGTATTCTTGATCCAATTCGTGCCACACCAGTCCAATTCTAGACCGAAATCTTCCCCTCTATATAGTACTATGTACACATATAAAGGTAAACTCCACTAGACACAAACTAAGTCACTTTAGGACTAAAATATGTTACAATTTATTTAAATAATTGGCTTACCCACAGTAGTCTTTAGCAGTGATAGAGCAAGGAGAAAACCCACGTGGTTCGGCAGGCGACCCTACTTCTTGTCACAAACAAGCGTTGGGATCAGGGGCGTACATAACGATTTTGTTTGGGGGGGTGTTTAGCCAAAATGCGACCGACTGATTCCCATACCCCTAGTACGAGTGACGCAGTCAGGAGCCGAGCACCATAGGTGCGAGTTTTGTAGGGGCCATGTGCAGTAGCGGATCTAGATAGGGGTGGGGGGCAAATCTAGGGCGCCACCCTAGCCACAATCCCACCCCACAATGAATGTCAACAAAATACTGGCTTTAACATTAAGTCTTCCGGTAGAACATAGATGATATTGTATAATTATATAGTTGTTTGCCGATCGTTGTCTCGCCGGAAAGCAGTTTTATTTAAGTTGACATAAAGTTTATGTCATATATGATTGTGCCTATAACACTGAGCAACCTGAGAAAATTTTGAAAAATTGAGTCAATATCTTGGCATTTGAGGTCATTGCTGGGAGAAATTCTTGTGGACGAGAGGACCAGAAATGTGAATCAATTAGACAAAATCTCGAGATCTGCCCCTGTCAATTCCGCCTGTTTTGCAAGAGTTGACAGAACTTTTGTATAGTCTGACGCCCCACGATCCACACACCAGTGGTACGACTAATATAACTGGGCAGTTCACTATAACCGTGAATATGATAGTGCTGAGACAGTATAAGACAACAGAGGAGTGGAAGAATGATGTTATAATGGAATCGAGCGCCGCAGGCTCGAAAAAATTTCAGATGTGTAACCGAGCTTTTAATTTTTGGGACTGGGCCTGACAATTTTAGTCAATGTCATGGCAAATGGATCCTCGTTAATGAGAGGATAAGAAATGGGACAGAATCTTGAGGCCTATCTGTCAATGTCGCCTGTGTTGTGAGAGTAGAACTAACAATTCTACAGTCTTTTGACCCACGACTCACTCACTAGTGGTACTACTAACTGGGCAATTCACTGTAACTGTGAATATGATAGTGATGAGATAGTATAAGACAGAGAAGGAGTTGAAGAATGATGGCATAATGGAACTAAGCGCAGATATGTAACTGAGCTTTTAATTTTTGAGGACTGGGCCTGAGGGCACTTTACCTCAATTGGGCACTTACTTGGTCTCTGAAATGCCCTGGACTTTGGGGAGAGATTTTGCAGAATTCTGGTGGTCAGAAAACACCCCATTAATTCATTTAGTCTGAGACCGACTGCGGTGCCATGGGGTGAAAAACATTTTTTTCAAACATGATAAGTTTACAAGGTTATTTTATACTAAAGTTTTGCGTGAGTAGCGTGACGTGTGCAGTGAGCACTTATTTTGATACCGACTGCTCAAATCTTACGACCGACTGCACTGATTTTGCGACCGACTAGTATTTGGGATCTATTCCGGCATTATTTGTTTACCTCATTTATTCATTAAGACGGCGATGCATAATTTTGAGACCGACTGCAGTGACTGCACTTATTTTGAGACCGACTATTTTTCTCCCTGGGGGAAATTTTGTTCTTAGATCTACATACTCACAAAGTTATTTTATACTAAAGTTTTGGGTGAGTAGCGTGACGTGTGCAGTGAGCACTTATTTTGATACCGACTGCTCTTATTTTGCGACCGACTGCACTGAATTTGCGACCGACTATTTGTTTCCTGGGGGGGGGTGTACCCCCCCACCCACCCCCACATTTACGCCCCTGGTTGGGATCTAAACCATGCCACTTGTCGGTCCTAAATACAGATTGGTAGTACACGTGAAAGGTACCTTGGCGATTCGAAGACAAGGCAGAAGATCACTGACAAGGCCGTAGCTAGAGCTGCCCCTCCCGCCCCCCCCCCCCCCTTTGGACGCAATACGAAACCAACGACCAGTGTGCCCATTTTGGTATGACGCGCCAGATCCGAGTCACATTGGTTGGGCGCACCCACGACGAGATTGACGGGTACCCGAACAATGTGACTAAGTTTTAGGGGCGCCTCGCCAAACATGTTATATATGAGGCGACATCTCCCCCTCCCCCCACCAAATGGTAAGGCGCCTCATAATGAATCACACCATGAAAAATTTTGGCATCTAGAGGTACACAAGTTATAAATGCGATTTTTCGTACAATCAAGTACCATAATTCAGGAAGTTGCGATCAAGTATGCGCGGATATCGATAGGAACCAGTATCTTTGGGTTATAAACATCAAAATCAAATCAAAATTGCCGCCAGTAGAGGTTCCACAACCTTGATATACCATAGTTTTTACATTATTTGTGTACGAGGGGAGGCCATTTTGTCCGACAGTTATGGTCCGATGACATCTGTAGAATTCCGGAATTACGATCCGATATGCCCAAATATCAAAAGGGGCCTGTAGAGTGTCCACAAATAAATTGTGGACGGACGCCCGGACGTCGAGACGGACAGGGGCGACGAGAATATACGTTCAAATGGAAATGAGGGAAGTATTGTGTTGACGAGACGTTAAACCCCACTCTATTCAAGTAGTTTCGGTCTAGTCATGGCACAATTATCATTTCATATGTATATATTATCACATAAATATAATTTGAAAATCAAATCCAATTATCCCCGATTGATATATATTATTGCACCGCGATTATTTACTGAAAATAAAATATATTTTAAATTAATAGCTTGTGAATTGTTGTCTTTTGTACATAACCCTGAAGACGCCGTAAGGCTGTAAGACATTGTCAAATAATTACAATAAAGATTGTCCACCCAAATCTTAGTACCGGTATTTTTGGTTTATAAACCTGAGGGTTGATTTCAACGATTGAATTTTGGGCCTAGCCTCGACCATCATTACTAAAGTCGGTATGATAAAAAAAAACATAGTCTCAATTATCCACTTCATGATTATCTCATGAATGAAAGTTAAGCAGCAAATGGGATCCTAATCCAGTAAATATTGCAGGCTAGCGTTGACATCGAGTGTTGGTTATGGTCTGGATAAGTTAATTAATGTCTAATTAATTTAGCTCTTGGATAATGTATGTTTAATATATCAGTGATAATAATGTACGTTTAATATATGACTGATTGTACGCCAATCATTATTTTGCCATCGCTCGACTATGGTCACGGCTACACCAGACGTATACAAGTCATTATTACAAAACTAGTTCACAGGCTCTTTAGTTGTCTTAAATAATTCACGGAATGTATTTTCCTGAAAACAAGATATACCATTATCATATCAATATTTTATTTTCCAATTAAGACCTACTTATTAACCGTGGCATTTACCAGAGTAAAATATCAAAACTTGAATATTCTTGGTATTTATTGATTATTTTCATGCATTTACAAAACAAAGAAGAACATAAGGTTGGGGACCAGTGAATAATTTCATTTAGCAAATGAAACTTTGATAAAGCAGCAACATGACGGAATATGCCAAGCTAGTTTTACTGTGTTTGTTTCTTAAAACTGTAATGACTGCTAATGGTTGTGAACCCGCGGAAAAAAAATATGTTTTAGAAAACAAAAATGTTTTGGCGAGCCGTTGGACAAGAATGACATCCGTAGAGAGTCGAGGTTTGTGTGCTTTTGAGTGTCAAATCGAACTGTACTGTGTGGCCTTTGCGTTTAATGAACATGATAGGGAATGTTATCTGTATGATAGAGATATTACCGGTGAAGTTTATGATCAACATTTGAACACAAATATTTACATAAGTAACACAAGTAAGTATTAATTGATTCTTTTTACATGTACTCCTGTCGTAATCAGGGGGACGAAATCGTCGGACCTAAGTCCTGACCTACGTGACTGAAGAAAATATGAAGTAAAATGTACAAATGGGATAAAAATAACAATCCAGTTATCTGTGAACAATGATTAACAATATATTTTTATTACATCAATAACTGAAGCGATATTTAAACAACAATGAATTTAACCTTTGGTTTTGCAAAAACAGCAAATACTTTATTAGGAATAACAAATACTTTTATTAGGAATAACAAATACTTTATTAGAAATAAATAATTATTATCCTTTACAGGATGTGGGTTATTACCTACCAAAGAAACCGCATCACCAGAATCAATGCAAGCTACATATGCTGCTGGTGCTAGAGTTAACTACATATGTAGTTCTGGTTGTAATTTAGACGGGTCGCCTCAGGCGCATTGCCTTCCATCTGGTGATTGGCACATTCCAACATTTACATGTAAAGCATGTAAGTTTCAAATATAAAAAAAAGAAGAAAAACCCGAGTATGTAGAAATAAAACAAGTGAAACGAAGGAGGTGTATTAGAAGGCGACAAGTGGGATTTACTGTTGTTCAAAACCAATTACAACCTGTCATGGGATCTCTGACGTCCTGCCAACGGTTTCATTACACCGAAACCTTGAATAAGTCTGATAATGAGCAATTTGATTGCTTTATGAAAATAGAAATATATAATAGTTAATGGATGTTATTTATTTTATTTTTTTTTTTGGGGGGGGGGGGTGAAGATAGGGGTCAGCTGTACTGCTGGATTATTAATATAATTAACCAAACGCCATTTTATGTATATTATTATTGTTATAGTGAAATCATGCCAGGAAGCTTACAATCTGGGGATAACAGTTACACCAACCGTAATCATCAGACCAGATCCAAATGAAGAAGCTGTGACGGTATCTTGTGAGATTACAAACAATGTTGTTTATACTATTATAGGTAAATAGTATTACCAGTTATAACCCATTAATAGTAAATGTAGGGGGGAGGGGCTGGATCGGGGCGGGGCGGGGGTGAAAAACAATCCTGTGGACAAGACACAAACTACACCAATATGAAACCAAGTGAATGGATCCAATGTACAGTCATGGGCCTGTAATGATACAGTCCTGGGCCTGTAATGTTACAGTCCTGGGCCTGTAATGTTACAGTCCTGGGACTGTAATGATACAGTCCTGGGCCTGTAATGATACAGTCCTGGGCCTGTAATGATACAGTCCTGGGTCTGTAATGTTACAGTCCTGGGCCTGTAATGATACAGTCCTGGGCCTGTAATGATACAGTCCTGGGCCTGTAATGATACAGTCCTGGGCCTGTAATGATACAGTCCTGGGCCTGTAATGATACAGTCCTGGGCCTGTAATGATACAGTCCTGGGCCTGTAATGATACAGTCCTGGGCCTGTAATGATACAGTCCTGGGCCTGTAATGATACAGGCCGTGCCCAAAATGAAAAACAAAACAAACAATGATTTACAAGAAAGGCGCCAATAATGCGACCGATCTTGAGGGTGGCTGTCCCCTGTATGGCGTTTCTAGTTGGCCTTAGTCTGCCACTTGACCTGTTGAGTGACCTAAATGGAATAAAGCCTGGTTATTTAGTCATACATATTTGGTCACCTAAGGATTTGCATTAAGGATGCATTAAAAACGTTGTCCATAAATATTGGGCGACAGTTTGATACAGCCACAACGTACATATGAAATGGCGAAACGGCATAAGCCAACTATAAAAATGACAGCATAGACAACTATACGTGACTGAATGTCCATCTGAGGTGTGTACGGTGTGTGTGTGTGGGGGGGGGCTGTGTATGGTACACCTTATAAGCTATAACACAAATATAATGAGCCTATCTAAAAAAACAAGTGGACACTAACTCGAAACTGTAAGCAACTAATAAAGACCAGTATAACATAAAACAAACAATCTTTATAAAATATAGGTACAACTAATGAAGCATTACTCCCTAAATCGTAATCCGTAAACGAAGCCTAGTCGCTACGAACTGCTAACCGTAACCAACCAATAAAAATTATTATCACCTAGAACAAACTCATGCATTAAAACTGGTGTCATGCATTAAAACTGCTAAAACAACCACCAATGTACGATGTGGTGTCGTGCATTAAAACTGATAGAGAGATCATCAAGATAGTTAAAGAGACCATCCGGGTACGATGTGGTCTCACGTATTAAAACTATTATAGAGACCACCAAGATACGATATGGTCTCGCGCATTAAGTATAATATATGGTCCCATGCAATTAAACCTATTAAGGAGATCATCAAGATGTTATATTATGGTCTCATGCAATAAAACTGCTAAAAAGACCATCAAGGTACGACATGGTCTCATGCATTAAAATGAAACCATTGATCGTATTATATCGTTGAACCTTTTCAGCAAAAATCGGGATCCAACCGTCTGATTATCAAGCCAGGACTTTGTCGTTGAGCTACCGCGACTCGTTAGTCTTACTAAAATGACGAAAATTATTATTATTATTTTTAGTCTAAATAGCCAACAAGGAAAATGGCAATCTGTTTCACAGAGTATTACGAATGTCTTCTAATATCTCTGTATTTTAGTATTTTAGAATTTAATTTGTCAGAGGAAAAGAATTAATAATTGTGGCTCATTAAGTTGCATCGATGTCATCCTTATCCGTGATTGTCGCAGACTAGCGAATATTCACTGCTAATCAGTGTGGGAAAATGGCAGCTGTTATGAAAAAGTCTTTCTGGGTGGTGTGTAGATTAGCCAATGAAACGATCTGTTACGGCAAGCTTTAGGCGTGTTTTGAACGGAACTGTGGGTAATCCACTAGAAACATCAATGATGATTGGGTAATCAAATGTCTTGTCAGATCCTCATGTAGTGCAAGCCACCAAAAGTATAAAAAAACGAAACGAAATATAGATGTGTATTTTAATCAGATTGAATAATTAAATAGAAATGGTAGTACTAGCCAGCCTTTATAATATTATAAATATACTATCTATTACATGGTGTCCTATCTAATAAAATGTTTTAACAATTTAAAACCAATATAATGCAGGTACCATAATATTGCACACGGTGTCAACAATGGGTGGGGGGGTGATAATATAGGTCGTGATGTTGCCAAAAGATCATAATGTAATGCTATATATATATTATATATATTTCAGGTCATGATGTAGCCAATAAAACGTATGTAACAGGTTACGAAGCAGCCAGAAGTTATGTGGGAACAATAAACTACAATGTTGATCTGCAACAAGTTATAAACATAGTTGATGTCTCAGCCGAATGTGAACAATATATTAAATTTGAATGTCATGGTGTTGAAATAACTGTAGATGTTGGATTAAATACACGTACTGGTACATTAGCAACTTATTTAATAGGGGGAGTCAAGGGTCAGAATGATTGCGCCTGTCATCGTAATAATGCCTGTGTCGATGATTTGCCTTGTAATTGTCAAAAGAATGATGGTGTATTAAGAGTTGATGAGGGGTATATTCGATATAAAGAAGACCTTCCAATTACTGCTATCTTGATCGGTGATACGGGTATGTATACTGTTTTAGACATTCTGTACACGCCACCCACCCTCCAATCAGTAGCGGATTATCAGTGAGGCTGGTGAGGCTGCAGCCTCAGGCCCAAAGATTTTGTAAAAAAAAATTTTTTAGACTTGTCTGATACGATTAAAAACGCATAGACAATGAATTTTAGGTTGGGTGGGGTTTAGGCCCAACGGGAATCAACATAGGCCCTCACCCGAAATTAATTAGGCCCACGCCATTTTAAATCTGCCCTATTGTTTGGAGATCTTATTTTTTAAACGTAGGCCTACAATGTACGTTAAATCCTTGTAAGTTTTCGGTTATGTCTTGCTTAATATATTGTATCCACGTGACGTCATTTATGGGCATATAAACCAATATCAAACGACTTTGGCTTATTAAAAAATATCTAGCAAATATTATCCTTGAAAATAGGTGTATGTACAGTTGGTTTCCGGTGACGTTTCTGCTGTCAAAGCATTTTGTACGACAAATTTCAATAGTTATAACTAATATTTTAATAATATTATAACCTCAGTAACGAATCCCGTTTTTAATGTTAGCAACTACCTTGGCTCTAACTTTAAAAACTAAATAGGCCCTCCAGCAACTGCCGCCTCAGTGTATGCATTGGCGTGCACATAAAAGATCCCTCCGCAGTTGGAATTCGATATGAGATTAGGCCATAGTGCCACTGCCTGCGCAAAATTTCCCTTATAGTACACTAAATGGCGTGTGCCCGTCTCCATTAGCGCAGTCGGGGGAGAACAGTAGGATGTTAAATCCCATTTCATTATTTTTCCGTTGTTTTGTCCGCGCTCTGGTGTTAACCGACGACTATCGTTGTTGTTGTTCTTAGTGTTTAACGTCCGCTTCCATCAAAGGTGATATCGCAGACAAGTTGTCTTTTTTCATTTTCATTATCTTAGCGCACGCGCAGGGGTCTTTCCTGGGGGAGGAAACCGGAGTACCCGGAGTAAACCCACGAGGTTGAGAAGGCGCCTCTATTTCCAAGTCACATACGCTCACACCAGGGATCGAAACCACAACCGCAGTCCAGAGGTGATCGACCAGCGTAACACTCTAGACCACTAGGCCATCCCAACTCCCCGACGACTATCGTTCAGCACCCCGCTTTTAACCCTTTGAACATTGGTCAGATGTACAACCCCAAAAGTCAGCCCCCACACCCACACACTGTGGCCTGATTGGATAGTCTTCAGATGGACTATGCTCCGATTGAGCAGAAAACATTAGCTACCGACAGATATCGACTGTGTAACCAACCCTAACAAAGGATGTCAAAGCGATTACATAGCTGGGCTATTGCATAATGCCAGATAAGCTTTCTGCACAAATTACTTCACAGGTCAAAGGACATTAAATAATCAGGCCAACCATCTGTTAATGAGTTAAACATCTGGTCGTGAGTGATATTAAATTATATCTTTAATGTTTTAACAGGAGGCAGTCATGAGTTCGCATATTATACAATCGGTAATCTCGTGTGTAAAGGGTGAGTAGCCATGAATATATCTATACTGTTACAAACTTAAGGTTTTGGATAAATAAAGAATCGCCTACGAGTCCTTTTTGATATAAAAAATATCAACATAATTCAATAATGTAAAAGCGAGTATTTTTTGGATATTGGCGAATTTTACTATTTTTAATATAAAAAATACAAGTAGAAGATACTATTTTACCGTGCAATCCTTTCTTACACCACAAAAAATATATATAATTCTTTAGTATTGATTTTATTTTATGTAAAGCGATGCTCAGTATATTATGAATGTTATCATACAAGCGATGCTCAGTATATTATGAATGTTATCATACAAGCGATGCTCAGTATATTATGAATGTTATCATACAAGCGATGCTCAGTATATTATGAATGTTATCATACAAGCGATGCTCAGTATATTATGAATGTTATCATACAATCGATGCTCAGTATATTATGAATGTTATCATACAAGCGATGCTCAGTATATTATGAATGTTATCATACAAGCGATGCTCAGTTTATTATGAATGTTATCATACAAGCGATGCTCAGTATATTATGAATGTTATCATACAAGCGATGGTCAGTATATTATGAATGTTATCATACAAGCGATGCTCAGTAGATTATGAATGTTATCATACAAGCGATGCTCAGTATATTATGAATGTTATCATACAAGCGATGCTCAGTTTATTATGAATGTTATCATACAAGCGATGCTCAGTATATTATGAATGTTATCATACAAGCGATGCTCAGTGTATTATGAATGTTATCATACAAGCGATGCTCAGTATATTATGAATGTTATCATACAAGCGATGCTCAGTTTATTATGAATGTTATCATACAAGCGATGCTCAGTATATTATGAATGTTATCATACAAGCGATGCTCAGTATATTATGAATGTTATCATACAAGCGATGCTCAGTATATTATGAATGTTATCATACAAGCGATGCTCAGTTTATTATGAATGTTATCATACAAGCGATGCTCAGTATATTATGAATGTTATCATACAAGCGATGCTCAGTTTATTATGAATGTTATCATACAAGCGAGAAAGTTAATCGGGATTTTTCGGCCTGGTTCATCTTTGTCAGTTAGTAGTGGACGACAGAGGGATAGGCAAGGCACAGTCTATAGTCGTTCGGATGAGGTGTCGGCACAAAATTTCCCTCGTAGCACACTGTATGGCGTATGCCTGTCTTCATTAGCCCAGTATAGGAGCAGAACAGTAGGACGTTAAACCCCATTCCATTTCACTCATGATCCCGGTGTTGGCCGATAAAGTTCATCAGTGGTGCAGGACAGAGGGCCTGGCAATGTACAACATATAGTCCTTCGGATGGGTCGAAAAAACAATTTCTTGTGTGAACATAGGTGTACACATAAAAGTACCTTTGAAAGTTGGAATTCGATATTACAGTAGAAAGTAGTGCCGCTGTCCGGCACTGTATGGTGTATACCCTTCTTCATTAGCCCAGTCGCGGCAGAACAATAGGACGTTAAACCCCATTTGATTTGTATGAATATATTTGATATAACAGGTACCTTTACTTGAGCAGTATAAAACCTCCACAAGTAACAAAAAACGTAGTTTTCTAGTTTTTTATCCCTGTAATATAGCTGTCTACCCTTGGTCGTTATTAATCCAGTTTAATGAAATCATTCCATTGCAGATAATTAAAAGATAAAGTTGGATTAAAGGAGTCACGGTGCCTAAGTGGGTAAGACGCTGGCTCGCTAGCCTGGAGATACATCTAGTTGGATACCTACTGTAAACAGATACATTCATATAAATTATATGGGTTTTATTTTACATAGTTATTGTCAAATTTCTAACCCAGTTTATTTTATAATCATCTAATTAAATTTTCGATGACTATAAACATTTCATGGGTAGTTATTTTCCCAACAAAACCACTGACATTGTTTTAATTAATTTCATTTTGAAGTGTGTTAATGAATTTGATTTGAAAATTTACAATAATTTTATCCCTGCTTTGACCCCCCCCCCCCCCGACCGCGCCCACGCACCTTAGACTTTCTGTATTTATACTCTGAGAGTCGACAATTCTAGTTTTTGATCTGCAACTGTGCCGTGTTAAGCTAGAGGCAAATGTACCATATGATATGCGGCCCACATTTTCAAGCCCTCCACTCTAAGTGTTTCAACTTATCAATAACAATGTAGAAATTTAATTACTTTACTATGAAAGTAAAATATTTGTTTGTTGTAATATTGATGTTTATTTATTAAATTAGACCACAGTAATAACACATGTTACATTCACTGCACTTGCTTAATGGTTTTTACATATAACTGAACATTGATGTTTTTATATTTTATTGTATTCTTGATCCAATTCGTGCCACACCAGTCCAATTCTAGACCGAAATCTTCCCCTCTATATAGTACTATGTACACATATAAAGGTAAACTCCACTAGACACAAACTAAGTCACTTTAGGACTAATATATGTTACAATTTATTTAAATAATTGGCTTACCCACAGTAGTCTTTAGCAGTGATAGAGCAAGGAGAAAACCCACGTGGTTCGGCAGGCGACCCTACTTCTTGTCACAAACAAGCGTTGGGATCAGGGGCGTACATAACGATTTTGTTTGGGGGGGTGTTTAGCCAAAATGCGACCGACTGATTCCCATACCCCTAGTACGAGTGACGCAGTCAGGAGCCGAGCACCATAGGTGCGAGTTTTGTAGGGGCCATGTGCAGTAGCGGATCTAGATAGGGGTGGGGGGCAAATCTAGGGCGCCACCCTAGCCACAATCCCACCCCACAATGAATGTCAACAAAAGTCTTCCGGTAGAACATAGATGATATTGTATAATTATATAGTAGTTTGCCGATCGTTGTCTCGCCGGAAAGCAGTTTTATTTAAGTTGACATAAAGTTTATGTCATATATGATTGTGCCTATAACACTGAGCAACCTGAGAAAATTTTGAAAAATTGAGTCAATATCTTGGCATTTGAGGTCATTGCTGGGAGAAATTCTTGTGGACGAGAGGACCAGAAATGTGAATCAATTAGACAAAATCTCGAGATCTGCCCCTGTCAATTCCGCCTGTTTTGCAAGAGTTGACAGAACTTTTGTATAGTCTGACGCCCCACGATCCACACACCAGTGGTACGACTAATATAACTGGGCAGTTCACTATAACCGTGAATATGATAGTGCTGAGACAGTATAAGACAACAGAGGAGTGGAAGAATGATGTTATAATGGAATCGAGCGCCGCAGGCTCGAAAAAATTTCAGATGTGTAACCGAGCTTTTAATTTTTGGGACTGGGCCTGACAATTTTAGTCAATGTCATGGCAAATGGATCCTCGTTAATGAGAGGATAAGAAATGGGACAGAATCTTGAGGCCTATCTGTCAATGTCGCCTGTGTTGTGAGAGTAGAACTAACAATTCTACAGTCTTTTGACCCACGACTCACTCACTAGTGGTACTACTAACTGGGCAATTCACTGTAACTGTGAATATGATAGTGATGAGATAGTATAAGACAGAGAAGGAGTTGAAGAATGATGGCAGTATGTAGAAATAAAACAAGTGAAACGAAGGAGGTGTATTGACGGGTACCCGAACAATGTGACTAAGTTTTAGGGGCGCCTCGCCAAACATGTTATATATGAGGCGACATCTCCCCCTCCCCCCACCAAATGGTAAGGCGCCTCATAATGAATCACACCATGAAAAATTTTGGCATCTAGAGGTACACAAGTTATAAATGCGATTTTTCGTACAATCAAGTACCATAATTCAGGAAGTTGCGATCAAGTATGCGCGGATATCGATAGGAACCAGTATCTTTGGGTTATAAACATCAAAATCAAATCAAAATTGCCGCCAGTAGAGGTTCCACAACCTTGATATACCATAGTTTTTACATTATTTGTGTACGAGGGGAGGCCATTTTGTCCGACAGTTATGGTCCGATGACATCTGTAGAATTCCGGAATTACTATCCGATATGCCCAAATATCAAAAGGGGCCTGTAGAGTGTCCACAAATAAATTGTGGACGGACGCCCGGACGTCGAGACGGACAGGGCCGACGAGAATATACGTTCAAATGGAAATGAGGGAAGTATTGTGTTGACGAGACGTTAAACCCCACTCTATTCAAGTAGTTTCGGTCTAGTCATGGCACAATTATCATTTCATATGTATATATTATATTATCACATAAATATAATTTGAAAATCAAATCCAATTATCCCCGATTGATATATATTATTGCACCGCGATTATTTACTGAAAATAAAATATATTTAAATTAATAGTTTGTGAATTGTTGTCTTTTGTACATAACCCTGAAGACGCCGTAAGGCTGTAAGACATTGTCAAATAATTACAATAAAGATTGTCCACCCAAATCTTAGTACCGGTATTTTTGGTTTATAAACCTGAGGGTTGATTTCAACGATTGAATTTTGGGCCTAGCCTCGACCATCATTACTAAAGTCGGTATGATAAAAAAAAACATAGTCTCAATTATCCACTTCATGATTATCTCATGAATGAAAGTTAAGCAGCAAATGGGATCCTAATCCAGTAAATATTGCAGGCTAGCGTTGACATCGAGAGTTGGTTATGGTCTGGATAAGTTAATTAATATCTAATTAATAATTTAGCTCTTGGATAATGTATGTTTAATATATCAGTGATAATAATGTATGTTTAATACATCACTGATTGTACGCCAATCATTATTTTGCCATCGCTCGACTATGGTCACGGCTACACCAGACGTATACAAGTCATTATTACAAAACTAGTTCACTGGCTCTTTAGTTGTCTTAAATAATTCAAGGAATGTATTTTCCTGAAAACAAGATATACCATTATCATATCAATATTTTATTTTCCAATTAAGACCTACTTATTAACCGTGGCATTTACCAGAGTAAAATATCAAAACTTGAATATTCTTGGTATTTATTGATTATTTTCATGCATTTACAAAACAAAGAAGAACATAAGGTTGGGGACCAGTGAATAATTTCATTTAGCAAATGAAACTTTGATAAAGCAACAACATGACGGAATATGACAAGCTAGTTTTACTGTGTTTGTTTCTTAAAACTGTAATGACTGCTAATGGTTGTGAACCCGCGGAAAAAAAATATGTTTTAGAAAACAAAAATGTTTTGGCGAGCCGTTGGACAAGAATGACATCCGTAGAGAGTCGAGGTTTGTGTGCTTTTGAGTGTCAAATCGAACTGTACTGTGTGGCCTTTGCGTTTAATGAACATGATAGGGAATGTTATCTGTATGATAGAGATATTACCGGTGAAGTTTATGATCAACATTTGAACACAAATATTTACATAAGTAACACAAGTAAGTATTAATTGATTCTTTTTACATGTACTCCTGTCGTAATCAGGGGGACGAAATCGTCGGACCGAAGTCCTGACCTACGTGACTGAAGAAAATATGAAGTAAAATGTACAAATGGGATAAAAATAACAATCCAGTTATCTGTGAACAATGATTAACAATATATTTTTATTACATCAATAACTGAAGCGATATTTAAACAACAATGAATTTAACCTTTGGTTTTGCAAAAACAGCAAATACTTTATTAGGAATAACAAATACTTTTATTAGGAATAACAAATACTTTATTAGAAATAAATAATTATTATCCTTTACAGGATGTGGGTTATTACCTACCAAAGAAAACGCATCACCAGAATCAATGCAAGCTACATATGCTGCTGGTGCTAGAGTTAACTACATATGTAGTTCTGGTTGTAATTTAGACGGGTCGCCTCAGGCGCATTGCCTTCCATCTGGTGATTGGCACATTCCAACATTTACATGTAAAGCAAGTAAGTTTCAAATATAAAAAAAAGAAGAAAAATCCGAGTATGTAGAAATAAAACAAGTGAAACGAAGGAGGTGTATTAGAAGGCGACAAGTGGGATTTACTGTTGTTCAAAACCAATTACAACCTGTCATGGGATCTCTGACGTCCTGCCAACGGTTTCATTACACCGAAACCTTGAATAAGTCTGATAATGAGCAATTTGATTGCTAGATGCTTTATGAAAATAGAAATATATAATAGTTAATGGATGTTATTTATTTTATTTTTTTTTTGGGGGGGGGGGGTGAAGATGGGGGTCAGCTGTACTGCTGGATTATTAATATAATTAACCAAACGCCATTTTATGTATATTATTATTGTTATAGTGAAATCATGCCAGGAAGCTTACAATCTGGGGATAACAGTTACACCAACCGTAATCATCAGACCAGATCCAAATGAAGAAGCTGTGACGGTATCTTGTGAGATTACAAACAATGTTGTTTATACTGTTATAGGTAAATAGTATTGCCAGTTATAACCCATTAATAGTAAATGTAGGGGGAGGGGCTGGATCGGGGCGGGGCGGGGGTGAAAAACAATCCTGTGGACAAGACACAAACTACACCAATATGAAACCAAGTGAATGGATCCAAGGGCCCAATGTACAGTACTGGGCCTGTAATGATACAGTCCTGGGCCTGTAATGATACAGTCCTGGGCCTGTAATGATACAGTCCTGGGCCTGTAATGATACAGTCCTGGGCCTGTAATGATACAGTCCTGGGCCTGTAATGATACAGGCCGTGCCCAAAATGAAAAACAGAACAAACAATGATTTACAAGAAAGGCGCCAATAATGCGACCGATCTTGAGGGTGGGTGTCCCCTGTATGGCGTTTCTAGTTGGCCTTAGTCTGCCACTTGACCTGTTGAGTGACCTAAATGGAATAAAGCCTGGTTATTTAGTCATACATATTTGGTCACCTAAGGATTTGCATTAAGGATGCATTAAAAACGTTGTCCATAAATATTGGGCGACAGTTTGATACAGCCACAACGTACATATGAAATGGCGAAACGGCATAAGCCAACTATAAAAATGACAGCATAGACAACTATACGTGACTGAATGTCCATCTGAGGTGTGTACGGTGTGTGTGTGGGGGGGGGGGCTGTGTATGGTACACCTTAAAAGCTATAACACAAATATAATGAGCCTATCTAAAAAACAAGTGGACACTAACTCGAAACTGTAAGCAACTAATAAAGACCAGTATAACATAAAACAAACAATCGTTATAAAATATAGGTACAACTAATGAAGCATTACTCCCTAAATCGTAATCCGTAAACGAAGCCTAGTCGCTACCAACTGCTAACCGTAACCAACCAATAAAAAATATTATCACCTAGAACAAACTCATGCATTAAAACTGGTGTCATGCATTACAACTGCTAAAACAACCACCAATGTACGATGTGGTGTCGTGCATTAAAACTGATAGAGAGATCATCAAGATAGTTAAAGAGACCATCCGGGTACGATGTAGTCTCACGTATTAAAACTATTATAGAGACCACCAAGATACGATATGGTCTCGCGCGTTAAGTATAATATATGGTCCCATGCAATTAAACCTATTAAGGAGATCATCAAGATGTTATATTATGGTCTCATGCAATAAAACTGCTAAAAAGACCATCAAGGTACGACATGGTCTGATGCATTAAAATGAAACCATTGATCGTATTATATCGTTGAACCTTTTCAGCAAAAATCGGGATCCAACCGTCTGATTATCAAGCCAGGACTTTGTCGTTGAGCTACCGCGACTCGTTAGTCTTACTAAAATTATTATTATTATTTTTAGTCTAAATAGCCAACAAGGAAAATGGCAATCTGTTTCACAGAGTATTACGAATGTCTTCTAATATCTATGTATTTTAGTATTTTAGAATTTAATTTGTCAAAGGAAAAGAATTAATAATTGTGGCTCATTAAGTTGCATCGATGTCATCCTTATCCGTGATTGTCGCAGACTAGCGAATATTCACTGCTACTCAGTGTCGGAAAATGGCAGCCGTTATGAAAAAGTCTTTCCCGCCAGACAATAATCTCTATCATCCAGAAAAAATATTCTACGAATAAGAAAGTGTATTAGCGCTGAGATGCACATGCACATTTTCGTGCAACTTAGCTGGGATTATTCCCTACTTTGGTCAGCTAGATAATATTGCGTCACTGCCGGTACATTCCATCGTTTAGTTTGATAATCGATCACAAGGGAAAATGGTGTCTCATCAATCTGATTAAAACACAGATCCTATTTCGTTTCGTTTTTTATAGTTCAAAATTTCGTTTTACTTGTCTTTACTACACTAGGATCTGGAAGAGTTGTTATCATTGCATTGATGTGTTCTGGGTGGTGTGTAGATTAGCCAATGAAACGATCTGTTACGGCAAGCTTTAGGCGTGTTTTGAACGGAACTGTGGGTAATCCACTAGAAACATCAATGATGATTGGGTAATCAAATGTCTGACGTCATAGGTACAAAAGCCGCTAACGTGACCTATCGCTAAAACTTATCAGATCCTCATGTAGTGTAAGCCACCAAAAGTATAAAAAAACGAAACGAAATATAGATCTGTATTCTAATCAGATTGAATAATTAAATAGAAATGGTAGTACTAGCCAGCCTTTATAATATTATAAATATACTATCTATTACATGGTGTCCTATCTAATAAAATGTTTAAACAATTTAAAACCAATATAATGCAGGTACCATAATATTGCACACGGTGTCAACAATGGGTGGGGGGGGTGATAATATAGGTCGTGATGTTGCCAAAAGATCATAATGTAATGCTATATATATATTATATATATTTCAGGTCATGATGTAGCCAATAAAACGCATGTAACAGGTTACGAAGCACGCAGAAGTTATGTGGGAACAATAAACTACAATGTTGATCTGCAACAAGTTATAAACATAGTTGATGTCTCAGCCGAATGTGAACAATATATTAAATTTGAATGTCGTGGTGTTGCAATAGCTCTAGCTGTTGGATTAAATACACGTACTGGTACATTAGCAACTTATTTAATAGGGGGAGTCAAGGGTCAGAATGATTGCGCCTGTCATCGTAATAATGCCTGTGTTGATGGTTTACTATGTAATTGTCAAAAGAATGATTATGTATTAAGAGCTGATGAGGGGTATATTCGATATAAAGAAGACCTACCAATTACTGCTATCTTGATCGGTGATACGGGTATGTATACTGTTTTAGACATTCTGTACACGCCACCCACCCTCCAATCAGTAGCGGATTATCAGTGAGGCTGATGAGGCTGCAGCCTCAGGCCCAAAGATTTTGTAAAAAAAATTTTTTTAGACTTGTCTGATACGATTAAAAACGCATAGACAATGAATGTTAGGTTGGGTGGGGTTTAGGCCCAACGGGAATCAACATAGGCCCTCACCCGAAATTAATTAGGCCCACGCCATTTTAAATCTGCCCTATTGTTTGGAGATCTTATTTTTTAAACTTAGGCCTACAATGTACGTTAAATCCTTGTAAGTTTTCGGTTATGTCTTGCTTAATATATTGTATCCACGTGACCTCATTTATGGGCATATAAACCAATATCAAACGACTTTGGCTTAAGAAAAAATATCTAGCAAATATTATCCTTGAAAATAGGTGTATGTACAGTTGGTTTCCGGTGACGTTTCTGCTGTCAAAGCATTTTGTACGACAAATTTCAATAGTTATAACTAATATTTTAATAATATTATAACCTCAGTAACGAATCCCGTTTTTAATGTTAGCAACTACCTTGGCTCTAACTTTAAAAAACTAAATAGGCCCTCCAGCAACTGCCGCCTCAGGCCTTGGTGGAGCTTAATCCGCCACTGCCTCCAATGGAAAATTGGAATTCGATCACGTGGTAATCTAATGGGCACTTTGCCCTATTATGTTTTAGACGAACTCGGCGTTATTTCTCATTATGTTCACCTGGGCTTATTAGGCATGAGTAATATAATGACAAGGCATTTCACTTTCTTGAGGTGACTAAGAAATGGATTTCTGATATTGCCTGTGCTTGTTCATCACCCGTGTCACTTTCTACATACCAACTACTCTCTGTGTTATACATGTACTGCTTGTTAAGAGAAATATATTAAAGGCGTTCGCTTTCCTTAGTGCGCTTGAGTTCCCCAGCCTTTTGTACCTGCTATATTATGCATGCCACGCGTCATCAGTATCTGGAAAAAATATATTACTATTCATTTGGTGTTCTGTCAAGGGTTTATTCAATGACTATTTACATTTAAATAATTGTTTGTTTGTTTTAATATTATCTACGTTAGATTCGTGGCGTTTCAGATTGTAACAGTATTGGCTCTTCAATACGCAACTCAATAATGCTTTTACAAGTCTCCTTAGTGACATTCTGGTGCGGGAGGCCTGGTCCTCTGTTGTGTTGTGGGAGCCACGATGGCAGGAGTAGTCAAGACGCTGGCTCGCTAGACTGGAGATCGCGTGTTGGAGCAGCTGTCTAGTCGTTCAGATGGGACGAAAACCCTTAAATCCGTGTATGCATTGGCGTGCACGTAAAAGATCCCTCCGCAGTTGGAATTCGATATGAGATTAGGCCATAGTGCCACTGCCTGCGCAAAATTTCCCTCATAGTACACTAAATGGCGTGTGCCCGTCTTCATTAGCGCAGTCGGAGGAGAACGGTAGGATGTTAAATCCCATTAAATTATTTTTCCGTTGTTTTGTCCGCGCTCTGGTGTTAACCGACGACTATCGTTGTTGTTGTTCTTAGTGTTTAACGTCCGCTTCCATCAAAGGTGATATCGCAGACAAGTTGTCTTTTTTCATTTTCATTATCTTAGCGCACGCGCAGGGGTCTTTCCTGGGGGAGGAACCGAAGTACCCGGAGTAAACCCACGAGGTTGAGAAGGCGCCTCTATTTCCAAGTCACATACGCTCACACCAGGGATCGAAACCACAACCGCAGTCCAGAGGTGATCGACCAGCGTAACACTCTAGACCACTAGGCCATCCCAACTCCCCGACGACTATCGTTCAGCACCCCGCTTTTAACCCTTTGAACATTGGTCAGATGTCCAACCCCAAAAGTCAGCCCCCACACCCACACACTGTGGCCTGATTGGATAGTCTTCAGATGGACTATGCTCCGATTGAGCAGAAAACATTAGCTACCGACAGATATCGGCTGTGTAACCAACCCTAACAAAGGATGTCAAAGCGATTACATAGCTGGGCTATTGCATAATGCCAGATAAGCTTTCTGCACAAATTACTGCACAGGTCAAAGGACATTAAATAACTCAGGCCAACCATCCGTTAATGAGTTAAACATCTGGTCGTGAGTGATATTAAATTATATCTTTAATGTTTTAACAGGAGCCAGTTCTGAGTTCGCATATTATACAATCGGTAATCTCGTGTGTAAAGGGTGAGTAGCCATGAATATATCTATACTGTTACAAACTTAAGGTTTTGGATAAATAAAGAATCGCCTACGAGTCTTTTTTGATATAAAAAATATCAACATAATTCAATAATGTAAAAGCGAGTATTTTTTGCATATTGGCGAATTTTACTATTTTTAATATAAAAAATACAAGTAGAAGATACTATTTTACCGTGCAATCCTTTCTTACACCACAAAAAATATATATAATTCTTTAGTATTGATTTTATTTTATGTAAAGCGATGCTCAGTATATTATGAATGTTATCATACAAGCGATGCTCAGTATATTATGAATGTTATCATACAAGCGATGCTCAGTATATTATGAATGTTATCATACAAGCGATGCTCAGTATATTATGAATGTTATCATACAAGCGATGCTCAGTATATTATGAATGTTATCATACAAGCGATTCTCAGTTTATTATGAATGTTATCATACAAGCGATGCTCAGTATATTATGAATGTTATCATACAAGCGATGCTCAGTATATTATGAATGTTATCATACAAGCGATGCTCAGTTTATTTTGAATGTTATCATACAAGCGATGCTCAGTATATTATGAATGTTATCATACAAGCGATGCTCAGTTTATTATGAATGTTATCATACAAGCGATGCTCAGTATATTATGAATGTTATCATACAAGCGATGCTCAGTATATTATGAATGTTATCATACAAGCGATGCTCAGTATATTATGAATGTTATCATACAAGCGATGCTCAGTTTATTATGAATGTTATCATACAAGCGATGCTCAGTATATTATGAATGTTATCATACAAGCGATGCTCAGTTTATTATGAATGTTATCATACAAGCGATGCTCAGTAGATTATGAATGTTATCATACAAGCGATGCTCAGTAGATTATGAATGTTATCATACAAGCGATGCTCAGTATATTATGAATGTTATCATACAAGCGATGCTCAGTATATTATGAATGTTATCATACAAGCGATGCTCAGTATATTATGAATGTTATCATACAAGCGATGCTCAGTATATTATGAATATTATCATACAAGCGATGCTCAGTTTATTATGAATGTTATCATACAAGCGAGAAAGTTAATCGGGATTTTTCGGCCTGGTTCATCTTTGTCAGTTAGTAGTGGACGACAGAGGGTGTCGGCACAAAATTTCCCTCGTAGCACACTGTATGGCGTATGCCTGTCTTCATTAGCCCAGTATAGGAGCAGAACAGTAGGACGTTAAACCCCATTCCATTTCACTCATGATCCCGGTGTTGGCCGATAAAGTTCATCAGTGGTGCAGGACAGAGGGCCTGGCAATGTACAACATATAGTCCTTCGGATGGGTCGAAAAAACAATTTCTTGTGTGAACATAGGTGTACACATAAAAGTACCTTTGAAAGTTGGAATTCGATATTACAGTAGAAAGTAGTGCCGCTGTCCGGCACTGTATGGTGTATACCCTTCTTCATTAGCCCAGTCGCGGCAGAACAATAGGACGTTAAACCCCATTTGATTTTTATGAATATATTTGATATAACAGGTACCTTTACTTGAGCAGTATAAAACCTCCACAAGTAACAAAAAACGTAGTTTTCTAGTTTTTTTATCCCTGTAATATAGCTGTCTACCCTTGGTCGTTATTAATCCAGTTTAATGAAATCATTCCATTGCAGATAATTAAAAGATAAAGTTGGATTAAAGGAGTCACGGTGCCTAAGTGGGTAAGACGCTGGCTCGCTAGCCTGGAGATACATCTAGTTGGATACCTACTGTAAACAGATACATTCATATAAATTACATGGGTTTTATTTTACATAGTTATTGTCAAATTTCTAACCCAGTTTATTTTATAATCATCTAATTAAATTTTCGATGACTATAAACATTTCATGGGTAGTTATTTTCCCAACAAAACCACTGACATTGTTTTAATTAATTTCATTTTGAAGTGTGTTAATGAATTTGATTTGAAAATTTACAATAATTTTATCCCTGCTTTGAACCCCCCCCCCCCCCCGACCGCGCCCACGCACCTTAGACTTCCTGTATTTATACTCTGAGAGTCGACAATTCTAGTTTTTGATCTGCAACTGTGCCGTGTTAAGCTAGAGGCAAGTGTACCATATGATATGCGGCCCACATTTTCAAGCCCTCCACTCTAAGTGTTTCAACTTATCAATAACAATGTAGAAATTTAATTACTTTACTATGAAAGTAAAATATTTGTTTGTTGTAATATTGATGTTTATTTATTAAATTAGACCACAGTAATAACACATGTTACATTCGCTGCACTAGCTTAATGGTTTTTACATATAACTGAACATTGATGTTTTTATATTTTATTGTATTCTTGATCCAATTCGTGCCACACCAGTCCAATTCTAGACCGAAATCTTCCCCTCTATATAGTACTATGTACACATATAAAGGTAAACTCCACTAGACACAAACTAAGTCACTTTAGGACTAACATATGTTACAATTTATTTAAATAATTGGCTTACCCACAGTAGTCTTTAGCAGTGATAGAGCAAGGAGAAAACCCACGGAGTTCGGCAGGCGACCCTACTTCTTGTCTCAAACAAGCGTTGGGATCTAACGCATGCCACTTGTCGGTCCTAAATACAGATTGGTAGTACACGTGAAAGGTAGCTTGGCGATTCGAAGACTAGGCAGAAGATCACTGACAAGGCTAGAGCGCCACCCCCCCCCCCCCCCCCTCTTTGGACGCAATACGATACGAAACCAACGACCGGCTTGCCCATGTCAGTATGAACGCGCCATAAAGCCGAGACACATTGGTTGGGCGCACCCACGACGAGATTGACGGGTGCCCAACCAATGTCACTTGATGCCAAACATGTTATATATGAGGCGCCCCCCCCACACACACACACACCAAATGGTGAGGCGCCTCATAATGAATCACACGATCAAAATTGTGGCATCTAGAGGTCCACAAGTTAAAAATGCGATTTTTCGTACAATCAAGTACCATAATTCAGGAAGTTACGATCCGGTATGCGCGAATATCGAAAGGAACCAATTTCACGAAATTCTAACTCAACCGACATTACGGCGTAACGTATTCGAGGGGAACGGTTTTTTTTTTTAAATCAGATACTAATAGTGACCTCTAGAGAATTCCGTAAGTTACGATCCGATATGAGTAAATAGCAAAAGTGGCCTGTAGAGTGTCCACAAATAAATTGTGGACGGACGCCCGGACGTCGAGACGGACAGGGGCGACGAGAATATACGTTCACATGGAAATGAGGGAAGTATTGTGTTGACGAGACGTTAAAGCCCACTCTATTCAAGAAGTTTCGGTCTAGTCATGGCACAATTATCATTTCATATGTATATATTATAATATCACATAAATATAATTTGAAAATCAAATCCAATTATCTCCGATTGATATATATTATTGCACCGCGATTATTTACTGCTGAAAATAAAATATATTTTATATTAATAGGTTGTGAATTATTGTCTTTCGTACATAGCCACGAAGACGCCGTAAGGCTGAAAGACCTTTCCAAATCTTATGGAAAATCTATATTTTACTTACATTTACATATTTGCCAAGGTCTTTCCAGAAATAATGGTACAACCGTAAAGCTGCACTACTTTGTTTCACGGTAAACGATGAAAAGATAAAAGGTATGCTGACACAAACGGATTTCAACACTGGTTTAATAACATTTTAAAGTACTTTTCGTCCGTCATGGGGCTATTCATAATGTCATTGTTTAATAATAGACAGAATAGTATATTTATACATATTTACATAGTAACACTGTGGTTTTAATTCATCGAGATTTTCCGGCCTGGTTCATCTTTGTCAGTGGTGGACGACAGAGGACCAGGCAAGCGGAAGCTCTCCCATTTCGTGTAAAAGGGCAACTGTTTTGGTCCCTATAGCTGCTCTAGTCGCTAGTCTTATGGCCTTGCTTTGTATTTTGTCTAGCCTGCTTAAGACAATACGTTGGCATAAGCCAGACATCCGTATTCGATAACCGAGCGGATGAGTGATCTCGTGCACCTATCGGCACCCCATTGTGTTCCTCTGATGTATTTCATCATATTGAGAGTTTTGGATGTGCGACTTATCATGCCCTCAATATGTGGCTTCTAAGTAAGTCTTGAGTCGAACGTTATGCCTAGGAATTTGACCTCTGCCTTGAATTCAACTTTTGTGCCGCTCAGATTAAATCAATTTTCCTATTACCATTTGCCGGATGTCGGATGAAACAGTATTGCTACTGTCTTCCTCTCGGATATTTTGTAACCCCAGTCATTTGCCGGATGTCGGGTGAAACAGAATTGCTACTGTCTTCCTCTCGAATATTTTGTAACCCCATTCATTTGCAGGATGTCGGATGAAACAGTATTGCTACTGTCTTCCTCTCGGATCTTTTGTAACCTCAATCATTTGCCCACTTAGAGATTTGTTCTAGAGTAAATTGCAAAGATTTTCTAATTTTTCTTATGTCCCTTAAAGCCTTCGAAAAAGAAGCTACCGTCTGTTAATAGCTCCAACTCGGTGCCCCCCCCCCCCCCTACCTTGGAAGGTCATTTATCATGATGTTCTATTTTTTTTATTTTGAACTTTTCACTCAGGCAATATTCTTTACAGCTACATGTACCAGAAGGATCTCCTTTGACGTCTGGCCTCTGAACGGGTATGAGATGAAAACACGACAGACCATTTCGTTTTAAAATGTTACTGTCAACCATGTGATGGAAGAATACACCCATACTAAAATCTTGTGGACTGCCCTTTCATAAAAGGGATATTGCAGATACAAGGTGTCTGATATATTAAGAGGATAAGTTAGATACAAAAATATGATTAAGTCGAAGTAGAAGTCGCGACAACACGAGGGACAGGTAGACTAATCACCGGAATTCACTTACCAACACCGGAATTCACTTAGAAGATATCAGAAATCGTTCGCAAGCTCTTCCTTTTCTGCGCGCAAGCGAATTATTGAAATAAATTTGAAGCATGTTAGTCCCATCTCTCTCTCTCTCTCTCTCTCTCTCTCTTTACAGACTAATCGTTACCTGGTTGGGTAGCGCATTCGAGCGCAAAATTATTGGAAGTTAATTTGAATTTCATAAAAAAAACTGTAGCATGGATATTTGTAATAACGTTTTATCATTATTCCCACCGCCTGGCGATACCCATGGAGATGTTGAAATAATTATTTTACATTTCTTTTTCTGCTTAGTACAGGGGTGCAGATCGCCAAAAATTAGTGGTGAGGACAGTCCATGCCCGGGCGAATATTGGTAAAGAGGGAGGTCAGGGGGTCCTCCCCCGACATTTTTTGAAAACTAGACGCTCTAAAACGCACTGTGTGGGTATTTTCAGCATCATTTTCTGGTAAACAATTCTAATCCCTGAGGCAGCAAATGATATGAAATCTAATCTAAAGACAAATCTTCAAGCCACCGTTCACGATTTATTCTCTCATGTACACTTGTAGACTACAAGAACTAGAAATATTTACACTACTGAGATTCCAGCCCATTTATCACCAGCTTTGCCGCCCATTTCACTGTGTGTGTTGTCATGAAAGTCAAATCGGTTGGTTGATACGGCTGATCTGTAACAGGTAAGGATAGTACAGGTACTTTCTTTCCTGTATCGGAGCTTGTACTACAACCCGGGGATTCATCTATCCGAGAATATATATCATCCTCACATGAATTTTCACAGATATCGTCCAAAGATACGGAAACAGAGGAATCCGAAGTAACTGTAGACCTAGGTGCTGCCCGCGCTGTCCGATTCTTGCTCTTCTTGAAAATATCGTATATCTTCCGGCCTAACGGCTTTTTTTTCATTCTGGGACATCTCCACGACGCAATGTAGGTCCTAATAATAATTTAAAGAATATTTTCTTTAGAAATTTATAAGTGTTCATACAGAGTCGAGCCCGTAGGCTGGAAGCAGGGTGGGCTGGTTCGTTTGTGAAACAAAAGGACCGACTATATAAGCCAACGCAGCTGGCGTGAGCTGCTAAAGGTGAGGAGGGGGGGGCTTTTACAATTTTTTACAATGGTGTCTAAATATGCATTCTCAGCGATTCTGAGTAATTTTTACCATTAGCAAAATAGTTCAGACAGCAATTTTTTAATCGAAAAAAACATTCAATAAAGTGTTTAATATATTTAAAACTAAAGAACAGTACACTTATATCCACTCTGCCCGTTTCTTTTCCCTTTGTCTTCTTTCTGGACGGCCCATGACAGGTTTTAAAAAATGTCTTTTCCGATACATTTCCTAAATTTCTAAACCATCTTCAAAACAGCAAAATAATTTCACTTGCTTGTAATATTAAGTACACGATTCTTGGCTTAGCTTACTGTACTCCAAAAAATAGAGGGTTCGAGTCTTAAATTTTAGATTTAATTGCCTATATTCCATGGAGGGAGATAGAAACCAGTATTTAAAAATACATTTATTTAGTATGACAGCAAATCTAGCAATGAAGGGTTCCCCTGATATACAAACTAGATCCATTAGTTAGGTGATTTATCATCCAGTATACCAGATAAAAACAAAATCTCAGTTATAACTCAACCCTTTAATACCCACACCTACATGATATACATATTATTATAATCTCTATGAAATATTTTAATTATTTACTGTTATAATATAATACTTATTCCATGTTAAATAAAAATCGGTCACCGGGTGCAGCTGTACAACTTCAAGGATCCTGGCCACAAGTGCCTGAGACCAATTCTATACACTTCCTGAAATGTCAATAAAAGCTCTGGAATGATTTCAATTTCAAAAAATAAACAGTAAGCAAAACATTGGAAATACGTGGTGGGGACACAGTATATCATGTCCCCACCACTAAAAATATTGGTGGGGACTCCTGTTTCCAAGTCCCGCGTCCCGAAAACCAACCAAAATGTTCCGCAATAGCTCACATGGAAGACTTTTATTACAGTAATATGCGTGAATCTAGTCTCGCGATAGTCTATTTGAGTATTGGCCTAGTCAAAATACTGACAGACCCACCACAAATTGCTTTAGAAGGTTTCGTCTTCATTAGCCCAGTATAGGAGCAGAACAGTAGGACGTTAAACCCCATTTCATTTCATTTAGAAGGTTTTTTGGTACCAAGTTGAAGATATAGATGACCTTTCCATGTGCATCATACACCGAAATCCATCGACGTGGTTTCCCCTTGTCACTGGTGCAGGATAGGGGGCCTTGGACAACGTATGCTCATTCGGATGAGACGTAAAAGAATCCTTGGCAGCTGGATTAACGCTGGTCTCGGACAGAATTTATCCCATCTATAGGACACGATATGGCGTATGCCTGTCTTCATTAGCCCAGTCGGACGTTAAACCCCATTTCGTTTATCTTTAACTCAAAGAAATAAATGTTTTAACATAAGATGTGGATTAAAAATATTTATTTAATTTTATTTTCTTCGAGTATGGAGGCGGCCGTTGTGTTGTCGGTTGTAGTTGTTGTAGTTGTAGTGCAAGAGAGAGAGAGAGAGAGATGGGGTTTAACGTCCACTCGACACAAACTAGGTCATTTCGGGACTAACATATGGTTTAATTTTATTTCAATAATTCGCTTGCGCATAGGGGTCTTTAGCAGTGGGAGGAAACCGGAGGACCCGGAGAAAACCCACGAGATTGGACAGGCGCCCCTACTCCT